AATCCTATAGTAAATTTGTACAATCATGACAAAATTATATGAAAACGTCCTGATCAGACAATTACTAATTAAACAAAATTGTTTCTATATGCATCTTAATACAATGTTCTTTCTTAATTAACTATCAACTTAATAAACAAAGCTTTAGATGAAAACAATTTACCTGAAAATTAAAGAAAATTCATATTGGTCTGATCCAAAATAAATAATATCTATTTTATTAAAAGAACTCCTAATAGTTCATTTAAGTGAATATAAGAGGATAAATAAAGGGGTAATAAATTAATGTTGTACAAGTCCTTTATTGCTTGCTTTAATTCCATGATAAATGAATCAATTATAAGGTTCCATTATACTCCTCAAAACACAAAAGTGTTGAGTCAAAGGAACAAATTATGTAAACATAGAAGCTTTTCTTTAACCGTCTCAAAAGAAATTCGTTACTTCTTTTGAATAACCGCTATGCTTCTTTTTACTTTAACATCCAACTACCCTTCCCACAGTATCATCACCAAACTTAATTCAACATTTCTTCAATCACTAATATATATATATATCCTTTTTTTTTTTTTTTTGAGATAACCGGGATGTCTGGATCAGTTTATGTGTATCTCAACTAATCCTTATAGTTATGATTCAAAAATTAATCCAACATATCTTCGATTACTAATATATATTTTTTTTTTTAGGTAACCGGAGTGTCCAAACCAGCTTGCACGCACCTCAACTAATCCTTATTATCCATTAAACACCCTATAAGTCCAAAGGGCTAGGTAAGCCACAATGTTATTGTGATAGATGGCTTCAAAGTTTGAACCCAAGAATTCAAAGAAATTAACAAAACTCCTTGATTGCAAAGCTAACCTTTGAGGTTATTACTAATAAATTTGATTGATTATCGAACATATTTTTGATAAAATTTAAGAGACAGTTATGATAATGGTATATAAATGTTTTTAAAAGCACCCATTAATTGTAGTTTTTTTCTCAATTGCAGATTAAAAAAAGAAATGCTAGAATTTATAATGTAGAAAAAAATGTAATAATAATAATAATAATAATGAAACTCAAGTTCGGCCGACCAAACATTACAAATTGCACCCTAAAATTCCAACATAAATAGGGGAGCCAATTTAGTTTTTTCTCCCTTTGAAAGGAATGAATAAATATGGAATGGGTTCCTTGTGTTATGGTATTTTAATTAATTAATTCAGTTAAAACTTATAATTACTTGTAAAAACAGAATTGTGTTACCAATGTTGCCAACCATATCATACTTCACCACCACAACCGCAGATACGATAAGGTGGGTCCTTTGACCCCCCACCAAAATGGATCATACATAATAAAATTAAATTAAAAAAATAATCATAAATTACAGTATAATAAATAGTAATGTTGGTAAAAGTGATTGTGTTATGATACAATTTGTCTGCTGCTTTTCGTAATGGGAAACATAAACACCTGAACATTATTTTCTACATTCTACAGTTAGTTTATTATATTTATTCATTTACTAAGATAATTATTATTAATGTTAATGGGAATTGGCATGTTCAATATTATTATTATTATGATTATTATTACCTTATCACATTAACATGCCTCAATATTCAATTGGATAGGAGGCTAACTTCTGCTGAAATTATGCTTCCCAATTGGAGGACTTTTATTATTAAAAATTAAACATTATAATAAAAACTTATATAACTCAACCATAATGTTGTGATGGATATAGAAGAATCTCGTGACAATTTTGACTTAAATAACTTGTTAAATATTGTTTAATGAAGGAGATGTTGTGAAACACTTGTTATAATTGTTAAATGAAGTTTTCAATATTAGTCATGAAACCTTGTTTCCCACACCAAGTAAGTATTGGAGTAAACGTACTTTTTCCCACCCAAGGTTTGCCTTAATGTCACTCCCTCACCCAAAGTTTATATTTTGTTTACTATCTAGAATACACTTCTCAATTTGATGGCTAACGGAGATAAAACTTAGTCCAGGTTATTGGGGTTTTTGAAGATAAGATGTTTGTGAGTCTTTTGGTGGTGGCAAGCTAGATTTTGGTTATTGGAATTGGTTAGAATCTGATTTGGGAGAGATGGTTATGCGTTACACAAATCGCTCGATTGGCAAGAGCAAATTTGAGGGGTTTTGATGAGTGATGATCAAGGAAGAGAATGATGGTGGCGTGAGGTCGAAAAGATACTAGAATCGGCCGATGATTGGTCGAAGTATTAACTTTGGGTGAGAAAGTAGTATTTTAAAACTTTTTGGGTGAGAATGATAATTAAGGCAAACCTTGGGTGGGAAAAAGTTATTTACTCTTTAATTATTGACAAATACTATTACTAACGGTTTTAATTTTTTAAGGTTGTTAATAATTAATTAATTAACCTTGGGTTTTCATTGATGCTAGATATGCAGGTTAACGTGGAAAAGTTGAAAACAAAATGCCAAACACTACTTCACATTTGGCTCTTCGATTTGACATAAAGGCATATATGGCGCCCCTTTTTAATTTTGATTTTCCCACCTCTTTTTCTAAAGTTACAAACTAAATTAAAACTACAATTTATCAATACCGATATTGCAATATAGTGATACCATTACCAATCAACATGAATGGTATGATAAACATTCTTGTCCCTTTTTTTCTATGAAATTCTACCTTATTTTATATTCTAATTTATATATTTTAATTATAAATCGCGTTGAATATGTGTTTTTGATTTTATAATAATACTTCCGTATTACATTTTGATACGTATTCTGATTGGATAATCATATCTTAAACATGTTTTGACCTATTGGAAATACTATATTGAATTGGATAAAAAAAAAATTCCCATGGGTAGTGTGTGAGAAGTCTAACATTAGTCAAATAGAAGCCCTAGTTCTTTCTTCAATTGTGGACTTTTTTAATTATTGAAGAAAAAAAAAAGAGGGGTGGGGGGGAAGGGGGTGGTCCGTCAGCTTTCTTCGGGAAAGTTTGGTTACCAGCTCCCTTTTCATGACCAATTAAAAAACCCCCATAATCATTGACCTTATAATATAAATATGTATGAACATGACACAAAAAAAATCAAGGTTTTGGTATTAACTTTAGTGTAGATTTTCTGAATTTATGTTCTATGGTAATGGCATTGGCACATGCAAACATTCTACAAGTCAAAAATGAGTGCCATATGATGTTAAAATATCTCTATTTTTTCTATGTTTCTTTGTCAAAACACAATTATAATTTCTTTTCTGATATTAGAAATCCTTTTAATTAATTATAATCACTGAAATTAGGTTTTGATTTGTGTCGGCTTCTTGCTTTAATAACAAATGGAAGGAATAAACCAACCCTTGGGTGACCAAACAGTTAACTAAGACTCTCGGATGTATTATTTAAGAGATCTTGAGTTTAATTCGCCCCGGTTGCTAATAGTGGTGGTCATTGAAGAATTATCCGGTTGTTAACTTTAAGGTCCCAGGAGATTAGTTGAGGTGCACACAAACTGACCTGAACATCCTTGGTTACCAAAAAAAAAAAAATGTAAGGAATGTTACTTGGAAATTTCCTACTTCCAGCTAGGTTTTATAAACATAAAAGTAGACAGGTTAGAATTTATTTATTTATTTTAACTTTATACTAACTAATTTCAATATTATGACCAATAAGATGCTTCTTTAAATATAACAAAAAAACTTTCTTAACTTGACTACTGCGTGTCTGATAAATTAAACACCAAGAAAAGACTTATTGATTTAAAAATTTGGCATATCTATGTATTCATAATAAAATTCCAACCAAAAGAGACCACGGCTAAGCTAACCGATTATTCAATGGAGGGCTATATTTTTAAACAGATAAAACAAGAAATTCTCTCCAATTTCCAAGTAAAAGTTAAAGAATCATACCTAATATTACCTTTAAATTAGTCTCCAATTTTTATATTACCACATATTAATAACAAGGCTGTGTTTTTTTATTTTATAACTTTGACATTTTCAACATTCTTGGCTGCTCACAAACCGTTCAGACACAACACAACTCAACCGTTGACGTTGAGCTTAAGGTATAATTAATTACTAAAGTAATTAATTATAAATACACGTAAATTGTATTTGTATGCCAGTTAAAAATAGATAAATTATTTAATGAAAAATTAATTCGAAATTTTGTACCTAGTTTTCTCAGAAAAATCTTATGGACATTGGACAGCAGTACCATCCGGTCAAGTGAACAGGGAGAGTATAGTTTGAATAAGTGAGGCAGCCCACGTGCCACAAAATTCTCATGTTTTCACCTTGGGGATACCTATTTAACCAATTTCATTACTTAGATTTGGATAACGATATTATTTTAATTATATTTATGTATTGCCAAAAACCAAAAAAAATATTATATATATATATTTTAAATGAAGTATATGTGTCTAAAACACGTTAAAACAGCTTATATAGTTAATTATAATTTCACATAATTATCTATATTTTGATTTTATCATTTAATTAATATTTTAAATATAGATTTCTCACTTTTCATAGTCTCAATTCTTAAATACTCAATTAAATTAAATAATAAAAGATAATTAGTAAAATCTCAATCTAACCTAATGTATGCTTAATAATTTATTTTTTCTCCCGAAAACATTCCCAACAGAGAATATTGTCACATACAAAGACAATCTGCCCCTTGTAGCTCTAATGAGGTTAAAGAAGAGAGGCAAAAGGTAAGACAGAGAATGGTTTTCTACCCCGCTTTTGGCGCTGAAAGTGATATTTTTTAATTTCACCAGAAGAATTCTGTTTTGGTGCATAGTGACTTGGACTCGCTACGAAAAGACTGACTCACAATAAGGCCTTGTTTGGCTTTGGCCTTTTCTGCTTTTGTCTACCCTCACCTCACCTCCTTGTGAGAAAAAGAAAAAAAGAAAAAAAAGAAAAAAAAAAAAAAAAAAAAAAAGTAGGAGCCCTCTTCTTCTACTTATAATAAGAACTAAACACGAACCACTGAAACCTCCCATTCGCCACAGCTCTCTTTTCTCTCTCTCTCTCTCTCTATATCTCTCCCTCAACACTTCTCTTTCTTCACTGCCATGGACAATCAACGCAACCCTCTTCTTACTTTTGCTTACTACTGCCAAGGAAAGGTTAATAACTATCTTCACATTCTTCTTTCTTTTCTTTTCTGCTTAATTAGTTATCAGAAATTTGCATTTTTGGTTCTAACTTTGTTGTTGTTTTGGTGTTATAGAGTATGGAAGATCTAAGGCATTCACTTTTGTGCACGACTATTGAGCTGGAACAAACGAAGATGGTGGTTCAAGAAGAGCTTAAAAAGAGAGATGATCAATTGCTTCAACTCAAAGATCTGCTAAGCAAAGTCATCAGAGAAAGAGATGCCGCTCAAGAGAAATGCCAAAGACTTCTTTATGAGAAGCTTTTGTTCCAACAACAACAACATCAGCTTCAACAACAACAACAATTTCAGCAGCAGCAAACAACAGCAGCTCCTCTCTCTGGAATTTCAAGCATTGAAGATGATCCCAGAAGGGGAATTGACTCCAACAATGGATTCTCTTCATCAGATTGTGAAGAAAGTATCGTTTCATCTCCAGTCATTGACCCAATGCCTCCACCACCACAAACACAATTACAACCATCAGTATCAGTACAACCACAAGCGCCTCAAGAACCAACAGTTGAGCTAGTGCCTGAGAAGCCATTACCTGAAAAGGGAAAGCTTTTACAGGCAGTTATGAAAGCAGGTCCACTTTTACAGACTCTTCTTTTAGCTGGACCACTGCCTCAATGGAGACACCCACCACCTCCACTTGAGTCCTTTGAGATCCCACCAGTAACCATACCTTCACCACCACCACCACCACCTCCCTTGCCACAACTCCTTCACCAAGACTCCCTGATCAGCGTCAATGCTTGCAGTAGCATTCTAAACAACTGTGCTAAAGTCAACAGAAAAAGAGTTCTTTATGATGGGTCTGATTCTCCCATAGAGACCAAGTATCAAAGGGTTCTACTCCCTTGACTCACTCTCCCTCTGTCACTACTACTACTACAAATTAGCCTAAATAGTTTGATTTTTGTTATAATTTACCCATTTTAATATGATTATAGGTTAGTAGAGTTGGAATTGTAAGGTGGGTATGTGACTGATCTCTGATCTAGCTTTTGTACAGAAGTTTGTTGTTAAAAAAAAGGAAGATATCCCAACCCAAGTTTAACTCAGTGGAGAAAGAAGAAGAGTAAAGACTAAAATTAGTGTTTCTTTTGCACATTTTAGGGTTGGCTTGAACTTGATTTTTGCCCAAAATTGACAGTGGGCATGGGTTGTGAAATGTAACTTAAAAGGCACTAGTTTAGCAAGTGGCTTGTGTTGGTGAAAGTGAGATTTTTTTTTGTGTTATGAAGAAGGTTAATGGGTTTGGGTGTGGGTGTGGGTTTGGATGTGGGTTTGGGTATTGGGTGTGGGTGTGGAGTTGTTGAGTAAGGCCAACAACCAGAAGGTCTAAGAACCTTGCTTGTCGGGTTAAATGGTCCCACAAATCAGAATCAGGATCTACTAATGGTGTGATTGTATGATTATATTAATCCTTTTTTGAGGGAAAGTTTATGATTAATTTATTTCAATGCTAATACTACTTACTTAAGTCACTCTCTATTTCACTTCACTTTGTTTATGCCTTTATGCTTTAATTATTTCTTTCACCCACTAACTGATTATATATTTTAACCTATCACATTAAAAAACCAATTCTTCCTTTGACAATGTTAAACCTTCCAAGAATGGTAATTGGTTTTGTTTTTAACCATGCATAGCAACCTTAATTTAATTGGACCAAATCATCCATCTTCCACTCCACTTCTTACTTGCATCTTTCAAACTTTTTTAGTTATCACTCACTATCAATATGTGATGTTAACATGCATATCATAACATGTTTCGATTTGACACATTTACCGCCTCAGTTTTTTGCCTGTTGTCTCATGGAAGGAAACTTCTATCGCTAATTCTATTTAGTATTCACTAAAAGACCTTATAATTCCTCTAATGATCACTTTCAGATTTAACTACACAGATTACAGGAGATAAATTTCTACAATTCTACATATATTACTCATTAACCAATCAATTAACTGAAGAAAAAGGTATGAACACAGACTGAGCTTTCAAAAAACCCAGTAAATTTAGAGACAGAGACAGCATTCAAATGCATATGGAAAATAGAGGCCAGACATGTTATATCACAGAACTGACTCAAAGTCTTCAAACATTAAGTGATTTCAAATAACATTTTTAAAAAAATGAAAGAAAGAGAGAAAATTGAGGCAAGTGTAAACTTATGAAAAGGCAAATAGAAAAAAAGAAGACTTTAGACCTCAAGAGCCGGTTGCAAAGTTAGGTTGAAAACTGGGAAAATCTGTAAGGAATGGCCCTGGTCCACACGGCACAGAGGCATAGAAATTAATATGTTAATTTTTGACCAAAAAGACATTTTATTAGACTTCTTGACCTACTTCTACTACTACTACTACTACTCCTCCTCATCCTCCTCATAGCATCTGGTCACATTCACTTCCCTCTCATAGTTCTAGCTTTATCGAATACTTAACCTTGACCAATTATTCATCCCAAATCCTCAACCAGCCAATATTAATAATGAGCTGAAATAACCATTCCATTTCTAGGCCTGCCCAGTTAAATCTCTATTACTTTCAAATGGAATCTGAATACCCAACTCGACCCAAACCAGAAGACTACAATCCCAAGGCTGGATGGACCTGGATAAGGATGACCAATGTAAAGCATTATGAATATTCATATTAAACATAAAGAAACGCTACTATCACAAAAATCACAAATTTCTAGAGAGTGGAGAACTTGGATCAACAGTCATTCAAATAAAGAAAGAAAACATATACCTGATTCTGACTGGCTTTCCAGTTCAAACCATGCTTTCTTATCTGTGCTATGAGGAAAATTCATATCTTCTCGGTTAATACAGTTGCTGCCCAAGTTAAAAACCACAAAATCACTGGAGCATAGAAAAAGCAATGCATAAGCGTCTTGTGTTTTGTTAAAAGCAATGTTATATACAAATGGCTTTGAGAAAAGCAACAGTATACATTCCAACAAATCAAATACTATGCTGATTTTGCAGCTGACACATTTTCCTCTTCAGATTCTGAAAATTTTTTGATGGCTACAATATCCAAATCATACTAAGTTTAGAGCAAAGAGCATGGCGACTCCAATTCATATTGCGCAAGCAAGTCTCCTAGTGAGTAGGTAATCATTCTTGCATTTAAAGCTCAAAAACAGCTATCATTGCAATATCTCCATGGAATTTTTTTTCTCAAGACAGAGCTAACTTTACAAGAAGATATGTCCAAGAGGACTTTGAGCCAGCTCCTCAATCATCTTCATTGTCATCTTGATTATTTGGTTGATTGTGTTTTTGAGCGTTATACATGTCCGCAACCTGGAAATAAATGAGAAAGGCATAAAGCAAATATATATATTTATACTTCAAACAATTTGAACAAAGCTACTTATTTAAATCTTCCATCGTTCTTTGTTTTTCCCCTATATCTGTTCTTTTAGACCATGTGAATAAATTATCAAGCAACTAGCATTCTTCTTCACCTGCTCAGATGACGAGGCTTGCTCTGGATTCTTATCTTCCCGAACACGAATTAGACGAGGAAATCGAAGTGAAATGCCCTACCCAAAAACAAATTAAAAATAAGAAAACAATGAACAGGCAAAATTCAAATTTTATTTAGAGTTGTGTGCGTGTATACACAATTTTGGGCTGGAGGCAAGTCTTTAATCGACCTTCACAATATAACATGAAACTCACACACTTCAGTGCATACAGCAAGCATAAACTTACAAATGTAGAAACCCTGCTTGGCATTCCATCAATCAAAATGCAAAAAACATGAACATATGAAACTTGAAAGACTGGCAATGTGAATGCCAAAGAGCTTATATACGGAATCCTTAGCAGCATGCAACAAAATTGATGATACGATTTTCTATATTGAAAGTAACATTGACTTTTATTGTAGTTGCAAACATTTAAATATGCTGCTGAGTAGACTTATCATGGGGCAGGTGTTTAAGTAGTGACTGATAGTCAAGAGTGTAAACAGAGAAAGATATAACAATTGATCTCTGATTGCCAGAAATGTGTTGCCTCATGAAATGACTGATCATTAGTTATAGGAGCCATTCTTGCCTGGTTTTAAACCCATTTATGCTAAAAGAAAACCAACAAATTGAAAATAAAATAAAATAAAACAAAACTTTAGACAAAAAGGAGAGAAAAATCTGTAAGGATTCAAGTTTCTACAAAATTCAACCTTATCAGGATCCAAAACACCAATTGCTGCATGGTGAACAGGGCTAATAGTCAAATCTGCAGCTTTCACCTCCCAGACCTGCAACAATTTCTTTCCTTGGGTCAAGAAAACTGTAAAAAAATCAACTGCTGAAATGAAGTAAACTAACAGGGCTTCATTCCATCAAGGATACCACAATCATTTAGCTGTAAATAAGAGAATTGTTCAATTTTTTTTTTTCTGGTACCAAAAAGTGTAAATTAAATAAACTATGAATTTTCCACAATCAGGTGAAATTCAAGGTCATAAGATTAGAAACTACAACATAGCCAATTACCTTTACAGGGATTCAAATGAAACTGGATAGCAAAGACTTCATAGACTATCCTAGGAATTGCAAGTTGCAATTGAGTGGTAAATATATTGCAAGGAGACATGTTTGGGATGGTGCCCACCCACCAAAAGGTTGGGATTGGAGGAGATATAAAATTTAAAGACAGACTGAACTCTATCAACAATACCAAAAATAGAAAAAAGATGCACAAATTCCAAGTAAAATTCACAAGTTACAAGAAATAAATGGGGAAAGCAAAACCACAAAAATAGCTGAAAATCACAAATAAAGGAGTTCAACTACGGGATTAGATGATAAATTTACCTCGGTGGGCTCAAACCATACATCTGGATTGATGGTATCTGCATATCGGTAGTATGGCTGGAAGTGACACAGATGCAAGAATTAGTAAGTCTGTCATAAAGAAAACATGATGAATAAACAATTTCCTCAGTTGTTTTACTATAGGAAAGAGCAAGGGACACAAACCTTTGGTTTCGGAATTACTTTAGAGCGGAGACTAGAGGAACGTTCTTCAAGCACTGCTTCAGAAAATCCAGTGCCTGTTCAGAAACGCCAAAGAATTGGAGATTAGGAGAACAAATCAGCCATAACAGACATTAATTGGAAAGAGATCCAGTGGCTATCAAACAATGGTATAAATAAAATTTATGCTCACCTATTTTACAAATGCTTTGGAATTCTTCGTTGTTGCTGTCATAACATGCTAATAGAAAAGCACCATAAACACCTAAGGAGAAACAAAAGGGCATCATCAACATTAATCAAGCTTGAAGTTGAAACTAGGGTACAAAGAACTGAAACAATCAATTGACTGTGAAACTCCAGTTAGCTATAACCATTACCTGTACGTTTCCCACGCCCATGAAATGCAGCAATAGGTACTAAATCGAGCGAGTCTCCAATACTGCAGAGCAGTGACAAAGATAAATGAAATTCATGAACTCAAATTTCTATTTAAGCTAATAGTCCTTACACCTTACCTGTCAATATAATCTTTCTTCAGTTTCAGCCAGTTATGAGACCGCCTTGAAGGCTCGTATGTGGCATCTCGATTCAGTGTTTTGATGATTAAACCCTCAGAACTAGAAATGAAGATGAGTTATGAACACAGAAAACAATATCAATAATAATTAAAGTACATGGTGATCTCACTCATACAGAAAGTCAAAGTAATTTTCAAACCATCTTACACATAGCACAACATCCAAATCACATTAAAATTGGAAAAGTTAGTGTTCCATGTTGCCCATAATCAAACCAATTGAGTTCCACTTCCTTTCACAACCAAAATCAGATCTGAGACAGATTCCAGATATAGGTACAAAGGAACGTATATCCCAGCAGAACAAACTTCTTCCTCACCCAGCTTACCAGCCTCTGAGGCTAGAATGCCCGTAGTAGAGGAAGACCAAGGAATTGAAGAGAAAAAAAATGAAGTGGATGTGGATGTGGATGTGATTGGTGATGATGGTGACTAAGTCCACTGAATATGCACTGAACCTAGGTAACAAGTTTTTGAGATTGAACAAACTTATAAATTCATGTTTTAGTCAAAGATGGATTAGAGAAGAGAAATAATGCTGATCATTAAAAAACCTTCAAAGACTTTGAGATTAACCAAGCTTTTGATGTCATACTTTGTCATTTGTCTTCAACTCCAAGAAAGAGTCCAAACACCATTAAATTTACAACTCAACTTAAACAAACAAAATGAGAACATCAAACAATAATTGACGTGCTCTGGTATCTTTTTTTACATAATAGAAGAAGGATTTCGACCACAATCACTATATAAGATCATCTAACTGCACTGTTAAACCATCTAAACAATGCAGATAGGTTTATTTTAAAGCATATGAGGTTCAAGTCTATTTTTTCCACTGAATAACAGTAAAGCATTAAACAAATACCTTGCATCTACAGCAGCATCAAGAAACTTTTGTATTTCATCAAGATCACTCGATGTTAAAGCTGTTGCAAACTGGAAAAATCCAGGTTCTTCCTGAAATGAGTCATAAAGTCTCTGCAAAAAGCAAAGGTCAGAGGCCCACAGATATGAACACATTGATGGTTACTGACTTCTAAATGTTGTATAGAGCTCAAAGGAGTAGTGGAGATATTATCAGTACAACAAGTTATCCAAAGATCTAATAACAATTCCAAACCCATGCGTTGTAAAAGTACACATGGAAACTTAAACGTCACATATTGAATAAACCAAACCACCAATAACAATGACCGTCACCCTTTCTATTCAAACCAATATCATAATTATGCCGCTAAGCCATTGTTCTTCAAGATTCTTCAAAACGTTTCCATATTTTTCCATCTCTGTGCATGAATACTAGATTCTTTCTAGGACAGGTGTACCTTTTTCATATTACAAAAGGTGCGAAAAATTGACTGTTCAGAAGGTTCACAAAATTGATCACCACAGAGAGAGGGAGAGAGGAGAAAAAGAAGAGACGCTGATTTCTTAAGCTGAACATAATAGATAAGGAGGACCATAGTCAATTAATTTAAACAAACAAATGAAGACAAGAAATTCCAAATAACTAGTGAGCTAATGCATAAAATTTTCACACATCACTCAGTATCCTGAATGCCAACATGTCATGAGAAATATAATGAATCCACTGGCCTAGCCCTTTACAAATATTACTATTTCATCCTATTAGAAAAAATAAATTCTGAACAGGCTCGAAGCCATGGTATCTCAACTCAAACTTGTAAGCCTAATACTATTATTCGGAGCAAATATAATATCCGTACAAGATTCAATTCAAGTGACAGCAATACCATTGTCATTTTGCATTAAGGAAAAGAAAAATTAACTACGTCTGTCATTTATCAGGTATAACCCTAAAGATAAAAACATGTAATACATAATACCATAGCAATAAACAATGGCACTGATACTAAAAGGTATGAAGATAATGTAAAGGTCCTACAACAACTGGGTCACAACAAAAAGCATACCTCTCTACGAACTTTCAGTTGCTCCTGAAGAAGTGGTTGGCCATTGACATACAACATGTCAAAAGCATATATGCAGACATCAACCTTGATGTCACTCACAGACACATTTTTACGAGCTCGAGTACTAAGGATCTGCCATCAAATGAATGTTCACTAGTGACTATCATACATTCCTAAAATTGCACCTATTTGTTATTACGTAGAGCATGAGTTGAAATGCATTACCTGAAAGGGCAAAATCTTCTGTTTCTCCCGGTCATAAGCAACAAGTTCACAGTCCAGAACAAATGATTTTACAGAGGATTTCTTTAATCTGCAAACAAGCACTAAATTTAAGCACCAACTAAGTTGGCATAATTACTAGGGAAGCAGGAATCACTTTGTTACCAGCAACCAACTTTAAAGAATAAATCTCTTTAAAGGTTCTGAATGTTCACATCAACATTTATATAAAGTTTGTCTCTTTAAGATGATAGTTGGAATTCAAAACATAAACCAAAAGTACCAAGCCTGAAGTTATGCTACTCACTCCAAACAGCAATTAAATTCGGAAGCTAGAGGAACAAAATGTAGCACAGGAAAAGTATATGCACATTCCACCATTCAGGTGAAGTTTAATGACATGAAATATCAGAAGGTCATCTGGTACAGTTATACAAAATATAAAGCATTGCAACAGAAAATTACACAGAAGCTTCTCAGACAACACTAAAACAAAAACAGCAAGATCTAGAATTAGAAATATAAATATGCAACTGCTTATCATGACTTCAGATAATCCCAGCGACCATGCTGAACTTCTTAAATGAAGCCCTGCCAAGCTAAATCAAGCCCTCTAATGAACATAAGGAAGAAAAGAAGCCGAAGTGCTGGGATATAGCTTGATTTAGGGCATTTAATTCAGTTTCAAGGTAAACTTTCTTCTCTATGCATATGCTTAACCTAGTCTGGAATTCTGAATAGATAAGCTTCCTCAATGCTCTGGTTTATAAAAGGGACAAAATAATGGAGGAAAGGATTGGTATAAGGGAGAAACTAAAAAATAAGGGGAGTCTCTCTATTCCTCCTTGTATTTGATGGAAAGGAAAAAAAGAAAAAAGGTAAGAGTTAGAATTTTGTATTTTATTGTTTCTTTTTTTTTACTTTAGTTATCTTTCCCTTCTCCATTCGGTTCATGTCTGAAGGGATTGATTCTGCTTCCTCTCCTCTCCTCCCTCTTTCCTTTTCTCTCACTCAACCCTTCTTCCTCCTCCCAAACATGCTCAGATGATCTCCAAATATATGGCCAATGAATCATACACAAAATCACATCTATGATCAGAACTGTTGTACTACCTTGAAATTGCAAGAGCAACATCAGGAAACTTTCCAGTATTACGTTCAGAATTTCGACTGTATATCTCAACAGAACCGTTCTCCATGTAATGTATCTGCATTAAATGAATAAATTATCACATAATATCCATTGCAACCAGCAAAAATTGAAACCTGAAGTAGCATAACTAGGTATTATACCTGGGCACGTTCTCCATCATACTTGTATTCAGATGTGAATTCCATATCCTGGAACTTATTTATGATCTCAGACACCCCTTTGGTTGGTTTTGCTAACATAGGTCCAACCGGGACACCCAGCGTAAAACTGCATGTATTCGGTAGATCCCACACGCCACCACTAAGAAGAGCAGAGACTATTTTATCATAAACAGGTAGTACAGAGAACGCTTGTTTAACAATCTTCACAGCCTGTTCAGACAAAACAAATAGACTGTTGATTGGAAGAGAAAACTCAAAAATGAGAATTCAATTTCACAGAAAGTGCACTTTCTTTTGTGAAAATAAAATTACTATCAATTTATACTTCAGATTTAAGGATATTTGACCTTGGGTAATGTGATGGCAAGAAAATAATGAAAGAAATAAAAGAGCCTTCCACTGTCAATTGCTAGTTACATTGACATCATTTTAAAGCGGTCAAGAAAGCATCAACTTACCTCCTCTAAAGGAGATTGAACATGTGGAGGTGGTTTAGAATGTTGTTCATTATAAACAGCTGCTTGTCCCAATGCAGCTAAGAGAGTTTGCTCTGCTAGTCCAATTCGCAACTTTGACTGCAAAATGAACACAACTCATATAGATATAGCAGCCAACAAGCCAATATCAAGTATTTGTCCAACAACCACCTGAAGTAGACGAATCAAATATTGAGGTTCACAATCAGTGGCAGCAACAAGGAGGGCCTTGATTCTGTTTTTTTTCTTCTCTTGACTATCTTTTCCAGCTTCCTTATAAGATTAAGCAATAATAGGGGCATGTCAAGAACAAGATTAAAATAATTTCCAATAAATAATTTCAGCATTTGACAACAATGATAATCAAGTAAACACACATGTCCAAACAAAATAAGGCATTTCACTCACATGACACATCCAAAAACCAAACAATGCTTTTGCATTTAAGAAGAAAAAAGACAGCACACCTTAGCAATGAGCCGAAAAGCATCAAAAACTTTACAAATAGATAATGCATCTGGCCGCTTGAATATCATTGATTGAGATGAGCGACTTGCTTTGGCAACAAGGCCCAAATCTCCCATTTCCTACCAATTAAAAAACATGAAACAAAATGTGAATAAAAACAATATAAGAAATAAAGGAAATATAATATGACTGGAGCTCTTATTTGTCTTCAGCCACATATATCAATAAGAAACATAGAATCCTACAACATCAATTCATTCTTTTATAACTCAGACACCTTCCGAACCCATTTAATGAACTCAATTTCAAAAGCACAGCAATCATGTGTCTTGCTCAAATAACCCCTCAAGATTTACAAATAACATCACATCACGAAAATCAACAACAAATATTAATCATAGAAACAACACAACTCCATATGCAATGCTACCAAACTAAACAAAGAAATTCAGTACCTTATACTGCTTCTTAACCTGGGCATCAGTCCTCCCATATGCTTCCGCAAGCGCCTTTATAATAGAAGCATCCCCAATTCCTAGCTCCAGTCCCTCATGAGCTGGTGCAATCTTATTGGCCGCCAAATACACAACTGCCACCAAGTCCTCAGGTGTCGTATCCATGACAGTCCTCAACATATTACACACAATATTAGTAATCAAAATCCGCCCCGTTTCGTTCGAAATCATCTCAAATGCCAAACTCAAGAAAATAAACGGCACCCTCTCTCCTTTCTCCCAACACGCCACCATTTTAGGATCAAAATCACCTGGTTTCTCCTTCAACAACACCATTTTACTCTTCAATTCCGCAACTCTCTCATTAGCACTCAATACTTTGGGTTTCTTTTTGGGTCTTTCGCAATTATCAACCGGTTGTTGGGCCTGTTTGGCGTCAACTGAATCTTGCGGTTCATGTTGATTCGAGATGGGTTCCTTGAGATCTAAACTGGGTTTTTCGGCGTTTTCTTGAATTTCATCAGCTGATGAATTTGGTGGTTTAGGGTTTTGGACATTTGTGGTTTTACGCTTATTAGGAGAAGAAGTGGATTGAGGGTTCTTTTTGGCGGCGGCGGTGCGAGATTTGGACATGAGAAAATCGAAAGCGGAGGGAGGAGTAGACATCTTGGGCTGAGGGTTTAAGGAGATAGAGAGGGGTTTTGGTTTGTGAGAGAAGGGTTTACTAGAGAAAGAGAGATGAAATAGTGCGGTCGGTTTCAGGAGATTGCGAGATAAAGATTTGTAAAGCAGAGGATGGCATGAACGAAGAGTTAACATTCAACAATCAAGAAGGAAAGGAAGAAGAAGGGAAGAGTAACGTGGTGCGGAAGATAGAAGTGAAGAAAAGTGGCGGGAGTTTCGTTAGAGAAGTCCACTTCTACATAGAGAATTTATGTGGAATTATTCGAGGCCTAATAACTAATTTTTATGTAATAAGCCCCAATTAAACATTATTTTGTAATTAAATCTTATTATTTATTTATTTTATCGCTCTTGGATATTTAAAATTTCATTTTTTAAATAAATTATAAAATGATGTTTTACAAAGAGTGTAAGAGACTACGACAGTATTCATCTTTTGTTAATTTTTATAAAGGGAAAGGAAGTTTAGCACTCAATTTCTAATTCAGTAAATTTATAAATGATATCTCATTATTTATTTTTGCGGTTACTTAAGATTAATTTTGAAATAAATTAATATCTATTTTGTTATGCCTAAAAAATCAGGACTGACGTAAGCTCACGATAGCAAAGGTCAATCAGAGTTTAGGAAGACTCTGTGCTAGGGGCAGATTCAGCCCCTTTGACGGTAGGCCCTACCCTCAGATTTGAAAAAAAAAATTATTAATATACAAGCCATAAAAAATTGTTAATTAATATATATATCCAGACGCACCTTCAAATTTTAAAAAAATAAGAATTATTATACATACCGTATATCTAGGTCTACAAAAAAACTTGTTATTAATAATATATATATATTACAAACTCACATTATATTAAAAGTTTAAAACTCTCTCCAGTGTTTTTCTACACAGCTTTACCTGTTTTTTTATGATTTTATCCGCAAATTCTTTACTCTCTCTTTCTCTTTCTCATGTTATTCTCTCTTATAAATTTTGAAGACTTAAATTGTTAAATTTTCACTACTCAAGGTGTCATAATTAGCTTAGTTTTTAGTTTTATAGATTTTAAGTATGTGTATTGTTCATTTCAATTTAGTTTATTTAAGGATTGAATCTTTTTTTTTTTTTTTTGAGGTTTTTTATTCTAATTTGAGAAAAAAAATATTAATCTTGTGAGTTTATTTTATATTTTCTGTCTAAGAATAAACTTACTTTCTCAAATTAAAACCTTAAATATATTTTAAAGGACGTTATTCTTCATCATTCACCCACCACTTTTCTATATTTTAAACGTCACCGTTCAGTTGTTCAAAATTCTTAAAGAAATTTGAGTTACTATCTATGTTTATACTAAAAAAATTTCCCTTCTTTTATTAATTCATATTAAAAGTCAACGTAACGTTGACTTGATTTAAGTTTTGGTTGACTTTAGCTTAATTAAGCTAGGTTTGATCAACGTTATGAAAATTTATATTATTATATTTGAAATCCAAAAATAAAAATATTAAAAGAAAGTTTTGTTCAAGGTTTACTCAACACTTTTACTCAAAATTTTGCTTCTCATAGATTTATTCAAGTAAGAAAATATTGTGTTAATGTATATTCTTTTTTCTCAGATTCTTAATATTGTGTTATTTTTTTTATTAAGGTTTGGTGATTTTTAAAGTTTTCACTAATTATTTGGCAAATAATGGCCGAGCCGCGGAGGCCCCCCTTTACAAAAATCCTGGATCCGCCACTGCTCTGTGCCATCCAGACGTTGTCACGTCACACAAGAACGGAAGAGGTAAGGTTGTCGTCAGTGTGGTAGGTGAAAGCTTGGCTTGCGAGTGGCTAGGAATTGTCCATCTGCCCAAGCCTTACACAATTTAAGGATATCTCCTATGCAGTCAGCCAATGGGAAGCAGGTTAGAAATTGTACCACACTTATCCGACTGTAGAATCACGATTATTACCTTGAATCCTTCGACTGTAAATAGAGGGCTCCTCTCTCATTTATAGGATCCGTTTATTTTTAATCTTCCAAGAGCAGACTCTCTCTCTGTATTTAAATTCTCTCTCTAGATTATAATTCAGCTCGTTGCCCGCGACCTAACTGTAATCATCCATCAATACAAATATAGTGGACGTAGGATTAACATTTTAGCATCTGAATAACTTTAAAAATTGTCTCTTATTTATTATTTCGTTGCACATTTTCATATCACGTGTAATTTTTAAGTCTACTTAGCATTTTACATGTGTGAGTCGTTGGTGTCAAAATCAAGCATTAACATATTTAAATATAATTTTTAGCATCAACATATTTAAATATAATTTTTACTTTATAAATTTTGAGACTAAAATAGAGTACAAATGAGATTTAAAAAACACCATTCTTGTTATTCTCCCTTCTTCCTTAAGCTTTTTGTGAACCCTTGGTGAAATTCTAGTTGCCATTTTTTTATCTCTTGATCAATTCTAAATGCATTCATATTTCCTCTTTAAACCTACACATAGTATTTTTATTCCAAATACCACTATACTATGTGGGCTGTCTCCATTGCTAATAGAATGGTATAAGGTGGGGAAGTCGCTTCAAACCGTCAAGCCAAAAACCTCTGCTATAGGAGAAGGGTAATGAGAGCCAATAATATTAATAAATTGGGGTAATTTGGCTAGTAATTTGGCTGTTACTATATTAATTATTGGGAGAGTAACATCCAAATATTTTGTGTATAAAAGGACCGATTCCTTTTCATTTGTGATATACTCCGATTGTTTTTGCTCCCATTTTTATATTGTGTCAAAACACTTTTTAGTTCTCATTGTTGATATCATATCATCACTACTCGGTTACTTCTCTATTATTGTTCTAAATCTCTATTAGAGTGTGCACTCTAAAAGGAGATTATTTTGACACTTATGCTCCTGTAACAAGAATAGCATCAATTAGAGTGTTAATTGATTTAGCTGCAATTTATATACATCAAATGGATGTAAAAACAACTTTTCTTAATGGAGACCTGGATGAAGAAATTTATATGAAACAACTAGAGGGTTGTGTTATCCCATGTAATGAGCATAAAGTGTGCAAACTGGTAAAGTCTCTTTATGGACTTAAATAAGCACCAAAAAATGGCATAAAAAGTTTGACCAAGTGTTAGTCTCAAATAGTTATACAATTAATGATTCAGATAAATGTGTATATTCTAAACTATTTGAAGACAACATTATGTGATAATATGTCTCTATGTTGATGACATGTTAATATTTAGTGCTAATATGGATGTGATAATTAAGACTAAAGAGTTTCTTGCCCCAAATTTTGATATGAAAGATATAGGAGAGGCAAATGTTATTCTTGGGATTAAAATCATTAAGATAAATAATGGTCTTAAGTTATCACAGCAACACTATGTCCAAAATTTCTTAAGAAAATTTGGGTATTTAGACAGTAAATCTCAACTCTTTATGATAGAAATACTCAACTCAAGAAAAATACACAACACAGTGTGAGTCAAAATAGATATGCCCACATCATTAGTAGCCTTATGTACTTAATGAATAGTACGAGGCCTGATATTGCTTATGTTGTCACTAGATTGAGTAGGTATACCTATAATCCTGATAAAAGTCATTGGATAGCATTAGACAGAGTTGCTAGATATTTGAAGGGCACCATTGATTATGGGCTAACGTTTGGAAGTACACCACCTATATTAGAAGGATATCCTGATGCCAATTAGATCTTAGATTCAAATGAAATAAAATCCACAAGTGGTTATATCTTTACACTTGGTGGAGGTGTTGTGTCATGGAAGTCTTCCAAACAAACTTGCATAGCTCGGTCTACCATGGAGTCTAAGCTTATTGCCTTAGAAAAGGCATGTTCTGAGGCTGACTAGTTAAGGAATTTCTTAGCAGATCTTCCTATTGAAACTCACCCTCCTGTTTCAGTATCAATCCATTATGATTGTCAGGCCGCAATAGCGAGAGCAAAGAGCAAAATTTATAATGGGAAAAGCAGACATATCCGGATAAGACATAAGCAGCTGCTAGAATCTGGGGCAGTGAGCCTAGATTTTGTGAAGTCAGAGTTAAATTTGGCCGATCCTCTAACTAAACCACTAAGTAGGATGTTAGTGGAATACACTTCAAGGGGGATGGGACTTATGCCTAAAGCATAAGGCAAGAGTGATGGTAACCCTACCTATGTGATTGGAGATCCCAACAAGTAGGTTCATGAGGGTAATAACAAGTCACATATTGTCTTGTTAAGTATTATCAAATTTTATCTATAGAAAATCCTCCCTATTGCGAGATAATACTAATTGCAGTGAATAAGGTTGAGTAAAATTACTCTTAATGAAATCCATAGCCAACATAAATAGTGGTGTGAAAAACTGCAATTCACACCTTATGGAGTTTCACCTATGTGAGTGTGGAATTGGGTCGATTCCTATGAGAGCTTAGGCAGACATCTCTAGAGCACTCATGAAATCCAAGCTAGCATAGGGCCATAAAGTGCTAAACCGTAGAACAATATACAATATTGAAAATTTAGTGTAAGGAACTAATCCTCTGAATTACATAAGGAAATTTTTGGTTCATAGAAACTTAATTTCACGAAATTTCTGTAACTCACGTTTAGTTACTCAATGATTGGTTCATAGTCTAAAAGACACCAACTCATAAACATTAAATTCTATAATTAGTAGTGATTGGTTATTTTTTAAATATGTGGGGGATTGTGATAATATCTGCCATTATAGTATTTCAAAATACAAGTGTTAATTGCTTTTTAGACTGTTATGCAATTAAAGCAATAGCAGTTTCAATTTTTAATTGAAAAATGGTTGTTATGCAACTAGTATAATGACAGTTTTTTGAGTTTTAATAGGTGAGTGACAGTTTTATGGTTGGCTGTTATGATTTCAGCTGTGATAATTTCAATAAATTGGAGTAATTTGGCTATTACTGTATTAATTATTGGGAGAGTAACACCCAAATATTTTGTGTATAAAAGGACCGATTCCATTTCATTTGTGATATACTCCAATTGCTTTTGCTCCCATTTTCATATTGTGACAAAACACTTTTTAGTTCTCATTGTTGATATCATATCATCACTACTTAGCTACTTCTCTATTATTGTTTTAAATCTCTACTAGAGTGTGCACTCTAAAAGGAGATTCGTCATTGTATCCTGAGGTCAATTCGCTGTTGAGCCTTTTTGCACCACGAAGATTCTTCTAGTAGGGGCAGAATTC